GTCCTTCAGCGCCATGGTGTTTTAGCCCTGCGACAGGGTCCTTGGACCCGGGCCTGGACCGGAGCTGTGCAGAACGAAAGCCAGCTCCAGGAGGACACAAGCAGGGTGGCAGTTGGCAGTGCAGAAACGCAGGTAAAGTCAAGGTTTGGAGCTAGTTTCTAGTCGGTTCAGAAAGTAACGTTTGGCAGTCTGGCTTTGTCATGTCAGCCCCTTAGCAGAATTGCACCCATGTATACATAATCAACGCAAACCTAACTTTGCAGTGTATAACCATACATATATATATGTATATATATATATATATGCGTGTGTGTGTGCTTCAGGGCCACGGAGAAGCTGATCGCAGGCTCAGCCCAGGGGTCGGCGGCAGGGGGCGGAGCCCCTTAATTCGGCTCCGCCGGCTCCACACGAGTACGCTGACAAATGCGTCACGAGCGTCCCAGAGCGACTAGAGCTCTAAGGTGAGGCGCGCCCCCAACCGCCGACCCTCCGACGCCGGGCCCCGAAAAACACCAAAAATCCTTCAGGAGGGTGGGGGAGAGCTTTTTGGCCGGGATCCGGGTCGCTCATAAGCGTCTCCAAGAGCATTCCCCCCCCCGTTTTGAGGGTACCTAAAATCGGAAAAAAGCGCCGTTTTGACACATTTTTCGGACGATTTTTCGCTTTTCGAAAGTCACAAAATGCTGTAAATTACAGCATTTTTGCGTTTTGACGTCTTTCGCGGGAGCAATGAAAAAAAGCAGAAAATGCTGTAAATACTAATACTTTTTAGACCGGAGATGCACAAAACACCGCAAATACCAGTGTTTTTGAAAGCCAAGCAAAAAAACACTGTAAATTACAGCATTTTTGGCAAGTTGATCGCAAAAAATGCTAGTATTTACACTGTTTTTGCAATTTCAAGAAAACGTGGAAGGCACGAAACACTGTAAATAGCGGTGTTTTAGCCACTTTTGGGCGCTGAAACGTTGGTATTTACACGGTTTTTTGCCCGTGACGGCGCCAAACCCCTATAAATTACAGCATTTTTTGCACTTTTTGAACCGATGTTTTGCCTTGATGAACGCAAAAAACGCTGGTATTTACGCGTTTCCCAAAAAATCGAAGATCGTGACGTGAACGAAACCCTGTAAATAACAGTGTTTTAGCCACTTTTGGGCGCTGAAACGTTGGTATTTACACGGTTTTTTGCCCGTGACGGCGCCAAACCCCTGTAAATTACAGCATTTTTTGCACTTTTTGAACCGATGTTTTGCCTTGATGAACGCAAAAAACGCTGGTATTTACGCGTTTCCCAAAAAAATCGAAGATCGTGACGTGAACGAAACACTGTAAATAACAGTGTTTTAGCCACTTTGGGGGACTAAAACTGTGGTATTTACGCGGGTTCTTGCCAGCTGACAGCGCAATATGCTGTAAATTACAGCACTTTGTGTGCTGTTTATGTTCAATTTTTAAACGTGCGATGCTTTCACATGTTCTTTGCATTATTTTGCACTCTTCCACAAGAAACAACGTTGCAGATTGAAACTGGACGACAGCGTGACCCGAAAGAAAGCTGGAGGGGGGAGACGCACAGAAGCTTTTACCCACACACACAGGGGCTTTTACACAGAGAAGTCTTTACACAAAGGAGCTTTTTACATACAGAAGGTTTTACACAGAGAAGTCTTTACACAGAGGAGCGTTTACACACCAAAGCGTTTACACACAGCAAGCTTTTACACACGCAGGGGCTTTTACACATTTACACAGAATAGCTTTTTACACACAGAAGGTTTTACACAGAGAAGTCTTTCCTCTGAGGAGCTTTTTCACACAAACGTCTTGGAGCTTTTACACACAAAAGCTGTTACACAAAGAAGTCTTTACACAGAGAGCTTTAACACACAGACGCGTTTACACACAGAAACTTTTACACAGAGAAGCCTTTACACAGAGAGTTTTTATACACGGAAGCTTTTACACACAGAGAAATCTTTACAAAGACGTGCTTTCACACAGAGAAGCTTTTACACAAAAAAGTCTTTACACAAAGTGGTTTTTACACACAGAAACTTTTACACACAAAAGCTTTTACACAGAGAAGTCTTTGCACAGAGGCGCCTTTACACGAAGTAACAAGTTGAAATCGGCAGCAGTTCTTTAGGAAAAACCCTTCGCAGGAGCTTTCGGGAACTCACTTGCTCCCCAAAAAATCGTCTATTCCAACAAATACGTTCCAAAAAACCTAAGGAATATATTTCTGAAGCAGGTCCTCATTCAGTAACTTTCACGCCCACACTGCGATGAAATGGAGGGCCGAGTGGTCCGGCGGAGCCGACGAGGGGCGTCAGCCCAAAAATTCGGCTCCGCCGGCTCCCCACGAGTGGCTTGCCCTACGAGCGTCCCAGAGCGACTAGAGCTCTAAGGTAAGGCGCGCCCCTAGCCGCCGACCCTCCGACGCCGGGCCCCGAAAAACACCAAAAATCCTTCAGGAGGGTGGGGGAGAGCTTTTTGGCCGGAATCCGGGTCGCTCATAAGCATCTCCAAGAGCATAATCCCGCCCCCCCCGATTTTGAGGGTACCTAAAATCGGAAAAAAGTGCCGTTTTGACACATTTTTCGGACGATTTTCAGCTTTTCGAAATGGACAAAGTGCTGTAAATTACAGCATTTTTGCGCTTTAACGTCTTTCGCGGGAGCCATGCAAAAACGCAGAAAATGCTGTAAATACCAATACTTTTTGGACCCGAGATGCACAAAACACTGCAAATACCAGTGTTTTTGAAAGCACAGCAAAAAAACACTGTAAATTACAGCATTTTGGGCGGGTTGATCGCAAAAAATGCTAGTATTCACATGGTTTTTGCAATTTCAAGAAAACGTGGAAGGCACGAAACACTGTAAATAGCGGTGTTTTGGCCACTTTTGGACGCCGAAACGCTGGTATTTACGCAGTTTTTTACCCGTGGCGGCGCCAAACACCTGTAAATTACAGCATTTTCTTCCCTATTTGGACCGATTTTTTGCGTTGATGAACGCAAAAAACGCTGGTATTCACGCGTTTCTCAAAAAATCGAAGATCGTGACGTGAACGAAACCCTGTAAATAACAGTGTTTTAGCCACTTTCGGGGACTAAAACTGTGGTATTTACGCGGGTTCTTGCCATCTGACAGCGCAATATGCTGTAAATTACAGCACTCTGTGCGCTGTTTATGTTCAATTTTTTAACCTGCGATGCTTTCACCTGTTCTTTGCATTCTTCCACAAGAAACAATGTTGCAGATTGAAGCTGCAGACAGCGTGACCCGAAAGAAAGCTGGATGGAGGAGTCGCACAGAAGCTTTTACACATACAGGGGCTTTTACACAGAGAAGTCTTTACACAAAGGAGCTTTTTACATACAGAAGGTTTTACACAGAGAAGTCTTTACCCTAAGGAGCTTTTGCACACAAATGTCTAGGAGCCTTTACACACAGAAGGTGTTACACAAAGAAGTCTTTACACAGAGGGCTTTTTACACACAGACGCGTTTGCACACAGAAGCTTTTACACAGAGAAGCCTTCACACAGAGGAGCTTTTACACACAAAAGCATTTACACACAGCAAGCTTTTACACACACAGGGGCTTTTACACAGAGAAGTCCTTACACAAAGGAGCTTTTTACACACAGAAGGTTTTACACAGAGAAGTCTTTACTCTAAGGAGCTTTTGCACACAAACGTCTAGGAGCTTTTTCACACAGAACTTTTTACACGAAGAAGGCCTGACAGAGAGAGTTTTTACACACAGACGCGTTTGCACATAGAAGCTTTTACACAGAGAAGCCTTTGCACAGAGGAGCTTTTACACACAAAAGCATTTGCACACAGCAAGCTTTTACAAACACAGGGGCTTTTACACAGAGAAGTCTTTACACAAAGGAGCTTTTTACACACAGAAGGTTTTACGCAGAGAAGTCTTTACTCTAAGGAGCTTTACACACAGAAGCTGTTACACAAAGAAGTCTTTACACAGAGGGCTTTTTACACACAGACGCGTTTGCACACACAGAGAAATCCTTACACAAAGGAGCTTTTTACACACAGAAGGTTTTACACAGAGAAGTCTTTACTCTAAGGAGCTTTCGCACACAAACGTCTAGGAGCTTTTTCACACAGAACTTTTTACACGAAGAAGGCCTGGCAGAGAGAGTTTTTACACACAGACGCGTTTGCACACAGAAGCTTTTACACAGAGAAGCCTTTGCACAGAGGAGCTTTTACACACAAAAGCATTTGCACACAGCAAACTTTTGCACACACAGGGGCTTTTACACAGAGAAGTCTTTACACAAAGGCGTTTTTTTACACACAGAAGGTTTTACACAGGGAAGTCTTTACTCTATATATAGCTTTTGCACACAAACGTCTAGGAGCCTTTACACACAGAAGCTGTTACACAAAGAAGTCTTTACACAGATATATAGCTTTCACACACAGACGCGTTTACACGCAGAAGCTTTTACACAGAGAAGCCTTTACACTTTACACAGAGAGTTGTTACACACGGAAGCTTTTACACACAGTGAAATCTTTACACAGACGTTTCACACAGAGAAGCTTTCACACACAGAAGCTTTTACACAAAGAAGTCTTTACACAAAGTGGTTTTTACACACGGAAACGTTTACACACAAAAGCTTTTACACAGAGAAGTCTTTGCACAGAGGCACCTTTACACGAAGTAACAAGTTGAAATTGGCAGCAGTTCTTCGGGAAAAACCCTTGGCAGGAGCTTTCGGGAACTCACTTGCTCCCCAAAAAAGCCGTCTATTTCCAACAAAGTTCCTATTCCATGACCTTTTTTCAAAAAACATAAGGAATATATTTCTGAAGCAAGTCCCCATCCAAAAGCTTTCAAGCCCACACTACGATGAAATGGAGGGTCGAGAAATCCGGCGGAGCCGACGAGGGGCGTCAGCCCTTAAATATTCTACATTTTAACATTGGTTTTCAAAGAAAACCTGAAAAAAACCTATATTTGGACAAAAAGTGGGAAACATGGAGCTAAGAAACAGGAACTTTTCAACTGCTTTCTGTTCCATGTTTCACATTTTTCATATTTTTCACAATTGGTCACATTTTTTCACATGTTCAAAACACATTTTTCATTTTCTTCAAGCGCATGTTCAAAACGCATTTGTTTCGCTTTTGTTTCAAAAAAACTGTAAAAAATGCGAACGAGGTGCGTTTTGAACGTGCACTTGGAAATGTGAAAAAATGCGTTTTGAAAATGCACTTGGAAAAATGTGAAACATTGTGGAAAACGTGGAAAATAACATTTGAAATCCAGTTGGGAAGGTGGAACTCTGATTTTTTTCTTCAAGTTTGATTTTTTTGGGCCCAGTTTTGCTGCAGTTACTTTGCTACCTGCCCAACTTCTGCAGGTTGAAAATCGAATAGAAATGAGAGAATCGATCGGAAGTGGACTGTGCAGATCCCAGATCTGCTTAATTTATCTATAATATAGCAAAACAATAATGACTACCAGGAGTAAGAACATAAAATCAAATGCAGAAGGACCTTTTTTCACCTTTTTAATTCAAACTGCTGCAACCTTTCTGTGGCTCAGTTGGCCATGATAATTCCAGTAATATGCAGTGATCAAAGAAAATCAAATGGCTGGACAGGTATGACACTCGGCAATCAAACGGCAAGTGATGGCCAGGGTTCTCGCCAAAACCAACTTGGGTTCACACTGTCAAAGGGGCCAGGGTTCTCGCCAAAACCAACTTGGGTTCACACTGTCAAAGGATTTCAGGGTCGGGGTAAAGCTGAAAGATTCCAACATGGGTTGGGTATAAAGCGGCCGAAGGAGTGACACAACGGTGACATCGGAAATCACCTGAAATCCATTAAAATCCGTTGATTCCAAGTGCAGCTTCAGCACAACGAGAGCAGGATGGCCACCAGCGTGGCGCGATGCTCGATCTCGGCTGCGGCCTGGATCGCGAAGAGCAAGCTGAGCTCGGTCCAGCACCAAGCCTTCGAAATGGCAATGAAGGTCTTCTAACACGGCAGTTGTTCGGGTGTGGACAACCATGGACAACCAACAACGGGCCAAGGAGCTGTCTGCCAAACGCGCGCCAACTTCCAACAATGCCGCCACATGCGGTGCTTGGGGCAAAAGCCACTCAAGTTCGAATGGAAGATGTCGCAGCCGCTGTGGCTACATGGGAACGGTAGAGTCTCACTTCCAAAATTCTCCAACTTGTCCACACTCTTGCCGCCTGCCAACTCCACATCCTGCGCTGCAACACACCAAGGCCCTGGTATGCCCAGGTTGGATAGGACATGATAAGATCATTTCCCGCAATGTCGAGCTCATTTCCTCATAAACTGTCACAAGCTCCTCATTTTTCTCTTTCGTAACGGGGACTTGAGAATGTTTCGAAACACCGCAATGGGGCAAGACCATACTCGAGAACGGCGCAAGACCATTTCACTTTTGGCTCCTTGACAGCTGGCCTCTGACATGGCACCCAGGGCCATGATCGCTCAGCCACACCCTGAACAAAACTGTGTGGGTTTGGGGTATCGGCACTTCAGATATTTATAAATCCTGAAAGTTGAACAAATTATGAGATGCTATGTTTAGGATCTGAAACATGTGGTTCCCCTGGGCTGACACAAATTGCGACTCGTCCCTGTGCAGATGCTGCGCAGCTTGGCTCAGCCTCGATCCTCAAGCGCAGTTCCAATCCTCTCTGACGACGTTTCAGACGTTGGACGCAATCATACCTTGAATCCAACATGTCCCCAAAATCCCCAAACAGTGAAAACGCAGAACTGATGGGATCTGATGAGGATTCCACGCGTGACAATATCATCAATACAATTTTAAGATATCGCAAATGTGAATAAAATTAGGAAATCTTTCGCCTTGTGCGCCTCTGTTGCGACGACCTTTATTCATGGTTCTGCTGGGAAAATCTACAAATCCTATATTTTGAGAACTGCCGCAATCACAAGAACCCCCAGCACCAGATCTTTGACAGTACATGTCGGGCACAAAATCTCTACGCAAGATCTTTCCAAAAGACGTCTCTGGAGTGCTGGTACAAGAGCCCTCCACAAGATCAGTGCAAGATCCTGTGAGATGATCTTGTGGGATGATCACCAACATTTCACAAGATCTTTCGGTTCAAGATCTGTGTCCTATTGCATGTGCTACATTCTGTTACGCAAAAACGGTCAAGGGGTCACGAGGTCATGTTTGTGCTGCACCTGCCGTGCAAAATTGACGTTCACGTCCCATGCCTGCCACATGGAATAACGCATCTACGATGCGCCACACCAGGGGAAACCACGATAACTTCAAGTCAACCCAATCAACCCATGCCACACAAAATAACGAGAACATTCTTGCTGCGGGAATGCGCAATCCATGCAAAGCCGCGCAGTTGAACCACATTGACCGCTGCGGCCGCACCTTGCATACACTTCCCGTAACCCCCTCACCGTGACCACGCTCTTTGGAGAACTATTTTGTTGAAAAATACCTGAAAAAGATGTAACGAAAGCCTGATCGAAGGTGATGTGAAATGGGACTGACGATGGAAGTCAGCTAGCGAACCAAATGAGGAAACTAGTAAATACTTGAGGCCCAGGGGGGTGAACGAAAGCTAAAGGTCATATGAATGTGGAAATAGGTGAGCGGAACTTGGAAACATGCAGGGAAGTGCAGATGATACTCATCCACAGGAAGGAGTCAAGATGGTTGCAAAGAATTGTGTAATGTCCAGCTTTCAATCGTAGAACATGAAGCAAAGAACATGGTTACTGAACAAAGTTGGTGCCTTATCCAAAAGTGTAATTTTTGATGGTGATCCGCGTCACACAGACTTACTATTGGGCCCACTGCCAAATTGCTAGGAGCTCTGGCGAGCTTGGAAAGTCTCAACCAAAGAAGATTGGTACGAGACAAAGTCTAGGTCCCATCCAAAATTATAATTTTTGATGGTCTCAAATCTACACAGTGTTGACCTGAGTCAGAAAGAACTCTAGCGGCTATAGCGAGCCTAATGTTCTGGTGAGGCAACTTGCGCAAGAGTTCCATCCGAACAACATGCAATCTTCCGTTGCAAGTCGTAAAACACCTGAACCAAAGAAGATGGTGACTAATTAAAAAGTTTGGGCCCCATCCAAAATCATAATTTTTGATGGGGCTCAAATTTACACAGTGTTGACCTGAGTCAGAAAGAATTCTATCGAGCCTAATGTTCTGGTGAGGCATCTTGCGCAAGAGTTCTTTCCGAACAACACGTAATCTTCCGTTGCAAGTCGTGAAACATCGGAACCGGAACCAAAGAAGATGGTGACTCTATAAAGTTTGGGCCCCATCCAAAATTGTAATTTTTGATGGGGCTCAAATCTACACAGTGTTGACCTGAGTCAGAAAGAACTCTATCGAGCCTAATGTTCTGGTGAGTCATCTTGCGCAAGAGTTCCATCCGAACAACATGTATTCTTCCGTTGCAAGTCGTGAAACATCGGAACCAAAGAAGATGGTGGCTCTATAAAGTTTGGGCCCCATCCAAAATCATAATTTTCGATGGAGCTCAAACCTACACAGTGTTGACCTGAGGCAGAAATAACTCTATCGAGCCCAAGGTTCTGGTGAGGCATCTTGCGCAAGAGTTCCATCCGAACAACATGTATTCTTCCGTTGCAAGTTGTAAAACATCGGAACCAAAGAAGATGGTGACTCTATAAAGTTTTAATCTCATGAGATAGGATGCCTGTCCAGATCTCTTTTTTCACCACCTTGTTTTTGTTGCTCAGCAGCTGCGGCACGTTTCGGCTGGCATCAACTGGACAGCACATAAACTCAACAAATCCTGAGCTAGAGAGTCACAGAGGGACGGCCCTGGCAGGCTTTGAGCCCGTGACCATCTGCTTCCGAGACTGCTTCAAAATGCGCCGGGAGCTTTGGGGGGGGTTCAAGTGAAAAAATCACTGTGTTGGACTCAGCTAGCTACCGCTAGCTTTCGTGATTTTTTCCAGATTTCTCACCCACAAACTTCTGACCCACCGGATTCTCACCCGCAAGATTCTCACTCACAAACTTCTCGCCTATACAGACTTCTCGCCCACACACTTCTCACCCACAGACTTCTCACAAACAGACTTCAATATACCTAAAATCTCTACAATATATACCTACGATCACCATTTTTGTGTCTCTACATGCTTTGTTCTCATCAGCAATTCTTTAGCTTCTCAATGCTCTCAAAAGGCAGGTATATTGATTCTCACCACTCATCACCCTTTTTATGGCGTCTCAACGGCTTCAAAAGGCATGCTCCACACCACCTTTTACGCGATTTTTGTTCCAATTGGCAAGGCCTGCCCCCAGACCCTTAAGCTCACTATGTTCCCGATAAAAACCTTCAGCTCTAGCCTACAGCTGGCTTTCATTTAGAACATCAAATTTCCATGGGCGGGATCCCGTGGCGACTCTCTTGGGACTCACCGCAATTCGATCCGTTTTCGCATCTCATCATCTCCAACTGCAATCTGAGAGGCAAGGATTGCTTGGCTTCGTCAGTGATGGCCTCGCAAGAGTTCAGCTGCAACACCAATTCTTCCAGTTTCAGCTTCGTGAGAGGCTCCCATGAGCCCAGCTCCACCAAGGACCTCGAATCGCTCAACATCCATGGCTGATGCTGCCTTGAGCATCTCAAACCTAAAATTTTAAGGTGAAATTCTCCGTGCGACGGCTGAGCTGCGCACGGCAAATTGGAAAACCAGAGCTGCACAGAGCGCAGTGACTGCGACATCGGCTCGGCACCGAGCATCTGCCCCAAGCCCGAAGCGTTCGCCAGGTGGGAGCCCGTGAAGCGCAGGCTGAGTTCCTGCAGTGGAGGCATCTCCATCTCCTCGACCTCTTGGCAAGTCTTGGCGCGGGGCATCTTCTTCAAATTCGAAGAATTTCATCATGAGACAATTGACAATTGATATTGTGGATATTAAATTTCTTTTGATTGAAACTTTGTATCTCATGTTGTTCTTATTCAATATCTCAAAGTTGCCAACCTGGCATATACATAGCTTTAGACGACGTCAAAGCACCCTGGCGCACGGCACGGAGCTTGTGCCTCTGGGAAAGCCCAGCATTGGACTCCACTGAAGCCCATATCTAAACGAAGCAGCAGCAGCTGCCTGCCAGAATATTCAGAATTCGGCAATCAAATTCATTTCCATGGCGTCACACCCTGCACCGGTTTTTCTGCCTGGGAAGGTGCCGCAGCAGCTGGCTCAGCTCCGCATCTGTGAAGCCACGGCAGCCCGTGAAGGACAGCTGCACCACTCTCCGAAAGCTGTCTGCCGCCAGGGCGCTCAGGAGTCGCTCTAAAACCTTGGAGTCGAACGAGTGGCGTTTCGCCACGAAGCCGAACCACGACGCCAGTGCAAAGTGCGCCGCCAACGCCTGGTTCCTCAGCTTCCCACCATGAAACAACGCATTCTTGTTGAAACAGGCACAATTTTCAAACAAAGCAAAGCCAACGAGGCATAAGTTCATCTGCCGAGCGGCACAGCCGTATAATTTGGATCTTCCAATGGTGCAGAGTCAGAGAGTACCTCTACCAGCGGGAAACGTAATTGTCCTCGCCATCTACAGGGTTTATCAGGGTTTCTGCAGTTCATGTTTGATTCCATGGCATGGAACTACCCTTCAGGTGCTAATTGTTTTTGCTACTAGATGCTACTAGTCAAAAACTCGATCAATTTCATGCCCACGGGACCGCAGCTCAACTAAACTAAACGGGGCCACATGGCAGCAATGAGAACGTTGAAACCACATTCAGCAACCAACACTGATAAATTTGACTGGAGATGGTTGACAGTGTGTCTAAGGCGGTGTTCTGCCTAATAGGCAAAATATTTTCCACTGAAAGTCTGGAGTCTATAGCCTTGAAGTTGTCGGCGATACCTACCCTGTTTATTTTCAAACCGCGTTTGTTTGAGAAGGAAACTAGGATAACTTCACAAAACATTCACATCACAATATTACATATATAACATTTAATATAGCATATCGCGCTACTACATTGACCAAAAACATCTTGAGATGATGAACTTTGCACATGGTCTTTGCACACCGCAGCTTCGCACGCGCAACTCTTATAGGTTCTCTATTTGGGCAATTTCTGCCCCGCGTTGTGCGGCTATAATTGGTAATTACTGGTAAAACCCAACATTTTTGAAAGCAATGTCTTGTTTTCTGGTCTATTATTTTACAAATCCGTTTTTGTCAAGTCTTTGGACAACCCATTCTCAGCTGCCGGTAGCCTGGCCTTGGTCCTTGCGCGTGGCAACCTGATGGAATTCAGGATGGCTGTCTTGTCTGACGCTAGGCTGGCATCGGCTTGCGCGATGTCAACGTCCAGGCCCTAGCGTTGGCACTTTCACATACAATTCGACCTGCCATGAATTAACCGGCAAGTCACACCTGCAGTTTTTGGCCATGCAGGTTGCAGCAAACATTTTTTTGCATCAGATCCAAACAGGAATCTGGTGATACTAGTGGAAAAAAAAGTTTGACAATGCAAAGTTGAATGACATATAAACTTTTGCAGTCAATTATGGGGCTTGGGATTTTGATTTGGGGACATCAATTTGGATCCTTTGAGCCCCATATTATACCCATACGAAATGATAGCTATGTATAAATATATTTATATATATATATATATGTATATAGGTACACGTATATGATTATATAACTATATAATATATATGTGTTTGTGTATTTGTATTTAGATCATGTGATATATATATATATGTATCATGTGATATAATACCAACATATACTTCCTTCATACTAAATATAACTGATTAAAATATATTTAAGATAATAGAGAACAACACAGCATTCCCATCTCCGCAGACACACACACACACCAAGAGGTGGTTCAGGGTGATAGATAGGTATAGACAGTTGTATATATATATATGTGTGTGTGTCGAATTCATATTGAATCCGATGAAATATGTATACTCATAAGTATATATTCACATACATATATATATATATGTACGTATGTCAGACCTACAAACATATATATATATATTTTTTAAACATATACACATATGTCTTTTATGTGTCGGTGTGTACATACCTGGATAGAAACACATATATGTATATATGTATGATATTTATATTATATATATGTGGCAGGGTGATATTTCCCATACAAGATTTAATTCCCAAAAAACTTGAGAATATATGTTAGAGGACCTAGAGTCCATCAATTAAACGGGGCATACTTTGAATTCAGTGTCCTGAAATTCAGGCTCACTCCAATCCTCTTCCATTGCATCCATTGCAGCTGGGTCAGTAACAAGCCAATGAGAGAAAATGCTGCAGGGACGCTCTGTTACTAAACTTATGAACTTCCGCCGAAAATCCATACAAATCAGCAGAACTCAGGCGCACATTTTGTGATGTTGAGTTCCGCCGAAAAAAAAAATCAGCAGAAATCCTAGGGAGAACCATTGAATCAGCAGAAGTCCACTACACATTTTGTGATGTTGAGTTCCGCCGAACCATAGGTCTGAATACTAAGTTCCGCTGAAAAAAAAATCAGCAGATGTCAGGTGCATAATTTGTGTAGTGGAGTTCCGCCGAAAAACAAAAAAAACCATAGTCCGTAAAAAAAATTGCAAGCGATCAAGGGGCAGAGGCCTCCGAAAGTTCCGCCGAAAAAAAAAATCAGCAGAAGTCAGGTACACAATTTGTGTAGTGGAGTTCCGCCGACGGACAAAGTCCGTAAAAAAACAAATGCAACCGATCAAGGGGCACAGGCCCCCAAAAGTTCCGCCGATTTTTTTTTTTTTCAGCAGATCTCAGGACGTCTCATGCCCCATAATCGTCCGCAACGGAAAAAAGGTCCACAAAGTCTGTAAAATAAGTTGCTGAAAAATTTAAGGTTTAGATCCTAACAAAATTGAACCTTTGACAGATTTGAGTTTTTTGGGGGTTGTTACTATCTTGATTTGTTGGCTCTATGCACCTTTACTATAGTTCAAAAGGCATGTGTCTGGTACCATTTTCGGTCGCTGCTGCCTCCATATACCCAGTTAATCCCAATTAGATCCTGAATATGTAAAATGCAATCACTTTAAAGTTGTTTGATCTGGGATCCCATTGAACAGAATTTCGATTTAGGAATGATGTTATTTCGAAATTTGGACTGGACATCCTTTTGCGTCAATAGAATTGGAAAAGGGTTTGAAAGAACATGGTTCCCAATTAGCGGCTAAAGGGCTAAAGGGTCCCAATTGGTTAAATAAGAATTGCGGGCCAATGATCTCATTGGTCGAAGGAATCTTAGTTGTCGGCATGGTCATATCTTAACAATCTTAGCAGGCTACCTGTATTAACATCAAAACCTTTCAAAGGAAGGGTTGATTTAGGTTGATTTATGTAAAGAAAAAGGTCCATGAAACCACATGTGGAAGACCCATAATCCAGGTCCAGAGCCCCATAATCGATTGCAAAAGTTTATATGCAGATTCATAGTTGATCTACTTCAGAAGACCGATGCCTACCCCAACTTCACGCGGCCTTCTGCACCAGTCGTGTGGGGAAGGCCGCTTCACGCACAGACTTGGCTAAAAAACCAAGCAGCGGCATCCGGGATGCCTCTGCGGCCGCCAAGCCATCAGTCAGCACGTGCGCCTGGCACACGGTGCTAAAGAAGCCTGCCATCATGCCATCAAAAAAAAAAACTAGAGCCACCGAAATCTATTTGAACCTATTTTTCGGTGGCCTAGGTTTTGTTTTTTTTTCTGACCATGGAAATCTCGCCTGAAGGGAATGTGTGAGTTTTGGATTATATTCACCGTTCGCATTTCTGCTGTCATTCCTGGAAATACGAATCCCTTGCCAACGGGAAAGGAAACATAATAACAATCTGCAACTAAAGTTGACAATTATGCTAAGCAGCGCCGCGTTGACAATTCTACTCTTTACCTGCCTCCTTCTGTATATTGTTTTTCCCACACGTCCCACTGGATCCCAGGCTTTGCATTTCACCTGACTCCCGATTTCTTTCAAGAAAACAGACTCAGGCTCCCGGGAATCCATCTGTAGGTCGTGTTTCCCCTTTTTGGAGGACGCCGAAGACATGAACCACTCTAAAAACGACTTATATTTTTCCTCGTTTATCGTTTTCCCCTTTTAAGACCCAAAAACTGTTTTTTTGCAAACCATCATCTATAAAGCACTGGAATTTACGAAGCTTTCATCGTATTGCAACTGTTACCTTTTTTGCCATGTACCAATACAAAAACGACGCTATCGGCAATGATTTTACGGCAACCACGTCTTCTGCGGCCAAAAACTAGAGTTGAACGGTGTTTAGCTTGGGACAATGCGTTCACTCGCGACCTTTGCTTCTTGGCGTGCAATATTTTCGGTGTTTTTGGTTAGCCATCATCCAAGAACACTGGTATTTACGCAGTTCCACCAATATTGTGGGATTTACCTTTGCCATACACCATATACAGAAACACAGTAATTTGTGATGTGTTTGTTTACATTTTTCCGGAATCCATGGCTGCTATGACAAAACCTTCCTTCACCTTTTTGGCTGGCCTAATCCCCTTCAGCTGCTCTGGCCTTCCCAACAACTCCACCTCTCCTAGATCCCTTTAGTACCCACTTCGTTCGCCTGAATTCTGTCCATCCTTCAGCTGGCTTTCAAAACCGAATCGACTGAAGCGTTGTTGGAACAGTTTCATGTGAAGCAGCGTATGAGACAGCCTATACCTGCATCCTCGCGCAGATTTTTTGTTTAGCCTGAAGCTGCAGCTGTTCAGCCTAAAATTTCAAGCGTTTTTTCTGCCCGATCAGTTTTGTTGACTTTTGGCTTGGGTCTCTGAACATAGTGTACCCAAGGGGCATCAGTTTAACACAACCATTTTAGAAGACAATTTTCCGGTTGCCCAAACCCCCATCACACCAAATCAGGCCCGCATCACGCCAAATCATCCCGATTCCTTTACACCAAAACGCTTTAAAAGAAACATATTTTCTGCTTTGGAATGTTTCATTGTTTTTTTTAATTGTCTGCGGTTTTCCCGTCCAAACTTTGCAAAAACCGCTCGAAAATCGAATTCAGCCCGCAGGCCGTTAGTTTGCCCGATACCCCATTCAGCCTAAATTCTGTCTCAGGCTGAAATTTTAGCCAGTTTGAGGTTTTAGGTATGCAACTAGCAGCATAGAGCCCCGTTAATTTCTTTGGCCTCGTTGGCAGGATCAGTCGCAGCCACATCCAGGAGCAGGGGCATCCCAGCATTGCGTTCTTCCACCTCGAAAGTCATGTGAAATCATTCGGAAGGTCTGGAAATGGAACTCGAAGCACTGGAGTTGCGGTTGTCATTCTTTCAGAGTGTTTAGCCGGGCAGCGGCGATGCTCTCCTCAAAACAGCACCAAATCCTTGTGAAAGGCGTCGCTTTCTCATCCAAGATCAGTACGATGCCTATGGATAATTGCATCGCGCGATAAAATGAAGTTGAGCGCGGATTTGCACAGATTTCTTCCTGCCAGCAGTGCCGTGTGATACAGTCACCCCGTCGCTAAACCAGTTGTTTGAACCACTCCAAACTCACCCAAACTCATTGCCCACAGCAGTGTCTGGCACTCCTTGAGCCTGTGCTGATTATTTGCGTAGGCGCACACCCAGTACGCGCCATCCGCCACGTTTCGCAGCGCGGCATGCTGCCGAAGACAAGCCACGAATTTGAAGATGGCTTCCTGCGAGTGAGGGATCAAAGAAAATAAAACACAGGTATCAAAAATTACACCAGCATAGACCCCAGACAATGATTTTTTGGTCAGTTTTCAATTTTGCAGACAAGACTGAGAGAGCAGGTGGACAAGCTGGCGAGACACAGCGGCAGCGGCAGCAAAGGTGGCGATCATGGAGGGAGACAAGAGTGGGAGACAACGCGGCTGCAGCGGCAAAATTTTCGTCGATCAGGATCCCCGTAAGAACCCCTATAGCTGACGCTACTTGGGGAAACATATTTCCTATAGAAATATACGTTGACGGTGGGTTAGATATAATTAATGTTTTTTGATCTGGAATATCTTTTTGATCAGGCAACGAGGGGATCGAAATACTCTAGATTGACGACACTTGCAGGTAGCAAAGAAATATTCCATACAGAAATAGATTTGCATGTTGTATTATGCTATGTGGTCTCGATTGCCACTTGGAGCGGCTATCCGATAATCCCAAATATGATTCCATTTAGGGTTGGTTTGGGTTTCATAGGGGTGGTTTAGATTCTATTTGGGCTTGCATGGTTTAACGTTTATCTACACAAGACCTGTTAGGGAGTTTTTCGGCGCTTCTTTGTGGCTTCTCCGTCCTTCACTGGCATGGTGTTTCCCTGTCCGGAAGCTATGTTTTGCGCTGCCGTGTCTGTTTTCGGCGTATTTTTTGTAGCCGTGCTGGCCGCGTCGTTTTTAGTCTTTTTGGAAAGGTTTCAGACGACACATTAGGCGGGTTTTTGGCACTTCTTTGTGGCTTCTCCGTCCTTCACTGGCATGGTGTTTCCCTGTCCGGAAGCTATGTTTTGCGCTGCCGTGTCTGTTTTCGGCGTATTTTTTTGTAGCCGTGCTGGCCACGTCGTTTTTAGTCTTTTTGGAAAAGCTTCAGACGACACATTAGGCGGGTTTTTGGCACTTCTTTGTGGCTTCTCCGTCCTTCACGGGCATGGTGTTTCCCTGTCCGGGAGCCATGTTTTGGGATTGTTTTGGGCTGCCGCGTCTGCTTTTCAGCATGTTTTGCAGCCGTGCTGGCCACGTCGTTTCTAGCTCTTTTGGAATGGTTTCAGACGACACGTTAGACAGTTTTTCGGTGCTTCTTTGTGACTTCTCCGCTCTTCACTGGGATGGTGCTTCCCTGTCCGGGAGCCATGTTTTATGGGCTGTCGTGTCTATAGTCTACAGTTTTTGGCGTGTTTTGGCGTGTTTTCCAGTCTTGCTGGCCACGTCTTTTTTGGCTCTTTTGGAATTAACTCTTTTGGAAGGTTTCAGACGACGCGTTAGGCAGTTTGTGAATGCTTCTTTGTGGCTTCTCCGTCGGTCCTTCACTGGCATTTTTTGGGCTGCCGTGTCTGGTTTTGGGTGTGCTTTGCAGCCGTGCTGGCCACGTCGTTTTCAGCTTTTACACGTTACACTTTACACTCCACACTCCACACCGTACACTTTTTTACTCCACTCCATACTTGACACTTTACGCTCGACACTCTGCACTTTACACTCTACACTTCACACTTTCCACCCTGCACTTTAAATTTTACACTCCACACTCTACAATCCCCACTTCACACTCTACACACTACATTCCTCACTCAACACTCGACTTTCTTCGCACTCCACCCATGCTTCATCTTCGGGGTCGGCAGGCGGCAGCCCTTCAATAATATTGTGTAATATATTTACACCATTTTACACCTGTGCAAGCTTGGATTGGAAGGCAGAATTTTGGGGGACCGGGAGGAGGCGCGCGCAAAGCAGGACGACAATAGTTATTCTCACATGTAATGGAAAAACATGAAACAAAAACAACAAATCACTGACAAATCACATTCTTTGTTTCTTCTCGTCTCATGTCCTTCCTTTCTTTCATTCTTTCCTACCCTTTCTCCTCTGTTGCTTCCTTCCTTCCCTCCTTCCTTGGTTGCCTTTTTCCTAATATGGTCTGTGTCCTTCCTTCCTTCATTTCTTCATTCCTCCTTCCTCTTCTGTTCATTTGTTTGATTCTTTGATGAACTTTGACCAACCCCCCCTACCTGCCATGCGTGGCTCACAAACCACCATGGATACTGTGCGTCAGCATCCGTTGCCACTAGCTCCACCAGGCTGCAGCAGAGCTTGCGTGTGGCAGGCGAAATGATCCAATGGCACGCATGGTGGAGGTTGAATTTCTCGAACTCCAATGGCAAGCCGAAGCTGGGGCTCTGTGGAAACCTGGAACGAACGGAACGTTTGCCTAAAGAAATGCGCGCGTAAGCAACATGTAAAATGCTAAAATCGTCAAACTTTATGACCAGAAAGCTCCAAGGGGCGTCTCTACCCAAAAACGGACATGCTTCTGGATGAACGTCTCGATCTGTAGCAGTTGCTGCACGGTGATCCCACGATGCTCAGTTTTCGCGATGGAGACGGCAGAGGTGCCGAGGGCATCATAGCTTACGAGCGCATACCTAAGGCCAAGTTTCGCTGAGAAAGCGATGACCGAAACATTAAAAACTTCAAAAAGTTGGACGGAGAACCAAACAAAATCTGAACCACAACTTTGTTTCACACTCCCCGGGGCGGTCTGCGGTCTTCTCACCAAGATGCGTGGAGTTGTCCAAGGCCTTGCCTGGTTCTACCTGGTCAACTCCACATGACCTTGGTTCAGAGACATTCCAAGCATTTTTTGTTGAGATTCAGAGACACAGTGGAAACAAAAAAAGTGAACAAAGCCCGAAGCAATCCAAGGTCACAGAAGCACATTGTCCCAACGTTCCTCCGGCAGCGCCTGTCGCACAGCAGCGATGGCAGTCTCAAACGTGGCCGGTAGCGGGCAATGGATCACCGCGCTCGACGTGACCACCGAAGCTGAGGTCATGCCCAGAGTCAAAAAGCAAGGGGATCGGAAAACTAAGCAGATCTAGACAGCTGAACCCTCTGAATTAAGAAATACTGCAGAAAGGCCATGAATTCAAGTGACTCAACAATCAAAATCCAAATCTGTGACACTGTGAATCCATCTGTTGTCCAAGTCTATGGCTACACCTATCTGCATTTCTATTTCTGTTACGTATTTGTGTCTATTTTTTCTACCTCCAAAAATCACAGGGTCTTCATCTTGATCTCTGCCTAGCTCTATTTCTATCTTACCATTTTGCAATTTGGCCCTGAGGGCCCGGACCAAGCAGGGCCTGTGGTCGCCGTGTCCCAGGTTGGAGCCTTACTCATCTTACTCGAGGAAACAAGATATAACAAGTATATACTAAGTATAACAAGATATCTAATTTGAAGCTTAGGCCCTAAAGCTCATTGTTCACCCTTAGGCCAGATTGGTTTGTCTTTTGTCAGAATTGTGAATGCAAATGCCATTCCAAGAGTCGCAGCTGCAAGATGAAGTGGAGCATTTCCTCGTGGAGCCCAACTTGGCAGTTGCAGAACTGTCAAAAGATCAAAAAGCAAAGCAAAACTTCAGAGGTTTGCAAGGACTTCATATGACTTCATAGAGCTTGCTAGGTTTGATCAAAATATCGGTGTCCTCGGGATGCTCTAGCCAGCCCTTGCCAGCCCTTGCCATCCGATGACCACATGTCCAGCAGCGATTCGCCTAGGATTCACCAATCCATTGTTAGCCTCACTTCGAAGACACCTGTGCAGGCTAATGACCAATGCTTGCCTTTGAAAATATCACGAACAGTCAAGAAGCATCGGTAACTGCACCAGCATCTTCCAGCAAGATTATATACACCGCTTGCAAAACATGCGATTTCTCAAGCCTAGCCTATCATTGCAAAATCTTTCTTGATTACTTGTCAATTGGCGATGGAAACCCTCATTGGGCATTGCGCTCCTGGTGCGGGATCTCGTCCATCAACAGTGCTAGCAGAATCGTGCCCAATCCTTCGTGGGAACTTGCGTTCGCCTTTCAACCCTTCAAAAAGCAGGCCAGAATAGGCCAGATCTGCCTGTCACTCGTTGGCGACAAAACTGGGAGCCTCCCGAACTTGGGGGAAATGTTGCCATGTAGCACTGAAGCAGCGGTCCGAAAGACAAAACATCCTTTCAAACAGGTCCTGGAGGGAAAATAGTCGCTGACAACGACGCTGAGAGAGGATATCCCGCCTGTCGGATCTCGTATGCGACGACATGGCTTGCTGACGAGCTGGTGAAACTATGACTGAATGCAACACTGGGATCATTGGACAAGCATTGTACCCCATTGTACCCTTGTCCCAGTCGATTCTTGGTGCCAGTTTATAAGACTCTGAATCTATGCAATACCAGTAGGTTCAAAAAATGCCGACCTTTGGCAAGATTGATTACTCGAACCCACCTTGCAATCACATCCATGTTCGTCTGTATGAATGTGTCTTGCCAGTTTGTGCAACATGCTCTTCCCAACATGTGTTCTTCCTTCTGCCGGCATGCGGAATTTAAATCATCCCCCTGTAGTGTCCACAGGTGGGGTTGGGGACCCTAAACCAAAATAATTTTTAAAATAAAATTATAGGTGCCCAACCATGTTGGGAAAACAGGGAAAAACAACATATTTATACATGAATTCCTCCATCCTGACTGAAAATTATTTTGCAAAATCTGCAAAATAAAAATCCGCCCGCACCGAAGGTGCTGGGGCGTGATCTTCCGGATGGCACTCGTAAAAGGTTACAGGTTTACCTGGGGGGGGGGGCATTTTTCGGCCAAAACCTCCTGTTTTTGATAGGTCGTGACGCTCGCCTTCAAAAAACACTGTAAAAAACACTACGGAAGACACCTGTTCGTGAACGCGCCCGTCCAAAATCGGCAAGCGAAAAGTGAGAAAACCCCGTGGTTTTCAACTTTTTGACCTCAATTTTTTGATTTGCAACATCTTTTTTTGCGGTTCCGCAGGTGGCCGGGCCCGGAGGCGGATTTTTGAGTTTTTGGACCCGTTTTCGGACTGATTTTCGTCGTTTTGTGATAGCAGAAACACTGGTTTTTACAGTGTTTTTCTGTTTTCTGCATGCTTGACGGCTAGCTTCAAAACTTCCAAAAACCTCGTAAATTACGCTGTTTTATGTTACGGTGTGAATGAAAACATCGTAAATACCAGTGTTTTTTGACGTTGGTTAAAAAAACACTGTAAATTACAGTGTTTTTGGCCACCTGACCCTCAAAAACCATGGTATTTGCAGTGGTTTCTGCTTCTCACCGCGCAAAAACACTGTAAATAACAGCAATTTCGCCGTTTTTTCATGTTTTTCGTTATTTTTTGAACTGCGTTGGTCCGCTATACATGGCTATCAAATTCTTCGCGTTTTTTTTCCGACAATCAGTACTTTCGGATGTTTTTGGTCTCAATGGCCGACATCATTGGCAGTTACGAGCGGCTGCCCAACGATGCGGTGCGGGCGGTTGCCGTCGCGAAGCGACGTGAATAAAGTAAAATCTAGTTGGGTACCCAAGGGTGCCAGGAAAATAAAATGCCAGGTACCCAAGGTGAGCCATGTTGTCCCAAGGCTTCCAAACCCAAAAAATAAAATAATTCTGGGTTACCCAAGGTCTCCATGTTCTCCCTTTGCATCCTTTGTTTTTTTTTGCAGCGCCTTTCATCTTGATTTTGATCATATCGAAGCACTCTGCGCACTTGCAAATCGTACAGACCAAGCATCAAAATACCAAAAGCCATTATCATCATTATCCAACAAGTCTTGTTCATAAAATGCAAATTGTTGTGAAAAAAATGTTAAACATGACTTGTTCTCACTTGTTCATTTTTGGTTTTCCATTTTGTTTCCTGTTCCCTGCTGTTCCCGGTTGTAGTGACATTGTGTTTTCTCACTTTTCACAATTTTATTTATTGTTTTATTGTTATTTTTCTTTCTGGTAAATCATATGTTTTTCTTTCTGTCATCATTATTTTCGTAAAGTTTTTTCTGGTCTCCCCATGTTTCCCCCATGTTTCCCCCATGATTTTCAGTGACATTTTTCTCATTTTGCATCATTTCCCCAAGGGCCGTTCGTTACCCCGTTGTGCCCGTTCTACCCGTCGTTCTGCCCGTTGGTTTAGCCTGCTGGGTTAGGTCTATCATTGTTTTTCCGTATAAAAAAAATAATATATAAATATATATAATAACATTTTATACTAATAATATGGTAATCATTTTTGGTTATGATAATGTATATATATTGTGATTTTCCTTTCTCTGTAACAGTGACCACGATCCGGGGCTCTATTTTTTGCACGAAGGAGGCCACCACAAAGCACGATCTAGACCACCATTTTTTGCACGAAGGAGGCCACCAAAAAGCACGATTTTTTGCACGAAGGAAACCACTCAAAACCAAGTATGCTCGAAATGAGAAGAAATCTGTTTACTGACTGTTACAGCTAAAAGGACGGACTCAATATATATATATATATATTACAGATTAATTTATTTACATCATTTATTCATTCATTTATTTATACATTATATTATATGAAGAATTGTTCACAATGTGCTATTTTTGGGGTGCCCAAAATGAACAAAACACCTGGCTCAAAATAAAATCATAGGTACCCTACCTGCTTAGCTGCATTTGTCCCCAAGGGGGGTCAACCAGTATATCAAAAATAAAATCATAGGTACCAAACTTACTTATCCCCAAATGAGGCTACCTAGGCTGGGGACTTCAGGTACCCAAGCCCATTTTATTTTGGAAAAAAAAGGCCAAAATAAAATAGAAATGGACTCTGTGGGAGCCTCTTGGTTTATTTTGGAGCACCGGAGGAGGATTTTAAATCTATATTCGATCTGAAAATTACTTTGATCACACGGGCAAACAGCTTGAAAATACTTCAAACGACTGAAATTCATTATTGGCCTTGTAACCCCACAGAACCAGTCTCACGCGAAGGTCTTTGGAACATGTTGATACAAGTGCGTGATCGCAAATCTGAGCAACACAAATCACCGGGTTCACGAGGTCGTGGCACCATGACGTGTGAAGAAAACACCGTAACTGGATGTTTAACGCTTTTAGAATGTGAAACATGCTCCTTGCCGTGAAACCTCTGAAACGAAAGTTAAAACTGCTATCCAAGCATGAACTTCATCTTAATTTCATCATGAATAAGTGAAGCTACATGCAGAAATGCTTGTACAACAACCACAATCCAAGTCCAAGATAGTTACAGTCCAAGCTGCTGGAAAGTTGCAGGAGATTTCCGGTAATCAGCAGGAAAACCAGCACTTTTCTGCAGGAAACAGGCGCCAAAAAAACCATCAGGTTTTTGGACATTACTTCCTGCGCTGGCCGTGGCAAGACCCTTGCTATCTGGGACGACCGTCTACGAAACAAATCAACAGATCCTATGATTTGGATGGATTTGGGTCCAGGATGGTTTCGATTCGCGTGTTGTGCAACCCTGGCGCGTGTTCCCTACATGCTTGTAAGTGTTTGATGTTTCTTACGGTTCACAGTTGTGTAAAAGGTTCAAAAGGATTCAGGTGCATTACATCATTGTTATGGGTATTTTGCTTGAGTTGCAGTTTTGCTTCCTGTCAGGTGTTTCCGAAAAACTGATTTCATCTCGCTAAGAACTGATGTGGTTGGCACATGATCTATCCGATGCAACAGACTTTCACTGGAAAGTCGGGCAGGCTATACGGTGGAAGTTTCAGTTAACTAATCAGTTGGAAGTGGACACGTCTACTGAAGCCACGACTGCAGTGCCACTTTTTCCGTTTTTCAGAGGTAGTTCCTAATCTTCAAAGTTTTGGAAATTCCTGAACCGTAAGCATCGTAAGCTATGACAAACTAAGTCAAAATAAAGTAACGAAACACAAAAAGGTTGCTCGGCAATTGGCCGGAACGTTTGCCAATGGACTTCTAAGCGCGCGACCGGAACAACCGTAGAACTCCGTCACGTGATCCGCTACCAAAGTGATGCGCCCCCTGATGGTCACTTGCCAAGCTACTCCAGGCTGCAGCTGGGGTGAAAAAAACGGTATAACTTCTGTAAGAATCATACTAATATGATATAATCATACTAACATAGTTCAGATATTGATATAATTTGATATAATTAATCGTATGAACATGATGTATATAATCCCTATCAGAACTGATTCAAAAGTCCACAGGTAGGTATGCAGCCTTTCAAGTTGGTACCTAGCCTCACATCATCTCGCATCCCTGGCAGGATCGCCTCGCCAAAGTTGAGAGTACTGCGGCCAAGAGGTTGCTTGGATGGGCTGAAGCCTGCTGCTTCACAGGGTATGGGTGGGGCAATGACACATGTGTGTGAAGTAACATGTGTTGCTCCAACTTAGGCTGATGACACAGATCCAAGATGTTTGAAACAAGCTGCAGACCTTACATGGCCCAGACACCCACCATCTCTTGGAAGCTACCGCGAACCCTGAGACAATGGACAAGATTCGTGAGCTGGCCATTTGTGTTCAACTCATGCTTGTTATACCTATTTTGTCAAAGTACTTGTGGTTCTGTGCCAAGATGTCTCAAGCAGCTAGTGCTTGTTCACATGTCCTTCCCTGACATACTTCCACCGTTTGCCTGGGCAGGGGTGTGTCGTCACAAAGGGCTTCCTCGAAACGTGGCACTGGGTCCGGGCACGAAAAAAAACCTAAGAGTCCAAAAAACGCAAGGAGGCAAAGGCTGAGAATCCCAAGGAATGAATAATGAATACTTGTTCTTTTGGGGGTATGGTGTGACATACGTGGCTTTCGGTGGCTTTTGGAGCTCATGTGATCCTGTATTTGCCAGGTGATAGACTACCATTGTTGCTAAGCTTCTGTGCTTTTAAGGGGCGTAATTTGCCTGGTAAAAGGTGCAATTATGCATAATCGGGCAATCACAAACTTTCAATTTCGGAATTGATACAGGTCCAGGTTTTTCAGGCACGACACAGGTCACAAACCACGGGTGCACACAGCGCCCACAACGCAAGCAATTTTGAATGAATTGCGTTGAATTGCTCGACACTGGGACCATGGGTTTTTCTCTTAAGGGTTTCAAGCAGCTTTGCCCTCTTTCATACTATTCTGGCGACTTGTTCATCCCACACTGGCACGTCATGCAGCTCTTCAGTCGCTGATTAGGTGCTAGTAGCTGGCACCAAGAGTTGTAGCATCGGAATCACAACTTGGAACGAAACTACATGGATATGATTCAGGGATGAATCTTCCAAGGACACTTTCCTTGCTCAAGAAAAATGCCAGGGGCGTTTTTTCTTTTAAAGGGCTGAAATTGCGTACCCTTAGCTAAGGGGCCAAAATTTGGCACAGATGGAAATTTTGCAGGGTCGAGCTATTCCCTACATGTTGCATGGCGACGAGGGCTGTGCAGTACTGATTGTAAGTTTTCAAGGGGTAGATGGATGGAAAAAGGATGCTGACCTGTCCATGGATGAACTGTTGAACTCCAATAAAAAAAATGGGTTCCCACCTGAAGGTCGAGTTGTGCAGCTTGGGCTGCGCTCCATCAAGTTCTTCAGGTTGCTTTGGGAAACTCTGGCTGCCCCGGTCAGTGGCCCAACAAGTTGTGCGTCATAGGTGGAACATGCTGGAATCTTTGAACAATCGCACTTACATTTTGTGTTTCAACTACTTGAATATGCATCAAGTATTGTGATGTAGTGTGTACATGTGCCTGTGCAACTTCTTGGTTGGAATGTACTGGTAGCACAGCTTGCTTCCATGAAAAAGCGGAGCCTTTGGCATGTGAAACCTAAAATCCATGTGGAGTCGCATATTTTGCACCATTGCTGCAAACATGCAGGGATCAAAACATTATATAGTCGTGTGCACTTTATAATTTTTTAAATGCACAATCTGAAATCGAGCTAATTATTAAACTAAGTCAGGATCTTGAGTACCAAGTGCTACAAGTAGCTGGATGTGAGATGATGTTAGTATTGCCTTAACCCTGGCATGCCTAGACCTCAAATATGTTGAGGATCATGTGCCTTGCAACGTGGAGTGACGACGATTTCGTAGGGCGCATAGCGGCATAGCGAGATGTGCTCTGAGAGCCCCAACGTTGGCGAGACCAAGGTGGCCTGGTGTCCTTGATCAAGGCTGGCTGACCGAGGTGGATAGGTTTTGATGTGAAAGATGGAACCGCAAGCTATGTCTGTGGCAACTGATACGTAAAGTTCTTTTCTGCGCTTGCTGTGGCGCTTCCAAGACTGCGGTTGCAAAAGGGCCAGATGCACTTCAAGCGCTCCGTCCCTGAACATTTTAGCAAAAGCTTACGCCCGACAAACCATTCAGCAGCGGAAGCGAGGAAGAATTAATGCAAACACTCGACGAATTCCAAGGGTTGCCGTACAAATAGAGCTTCTGCAGTTGCTCAAGGCCTTGGAATGTTCCCGCAGGAATTGTCGTCAACTTGTTGTACTCCAGATAGAGCTTCTGCAGTTGACCAAGTCCTTGAAATGCCCGCGCAGGAATTGTCGTCAACTTGTTGTACTCCAGATTGAGTGTCTGCAGTTGCTCAAGTCCTTGGAATGCCCCTGCAGAAATTGTCGTCAACTTGTTGCTACTCAGATAGAGTTCCTGCAGTTGCTCAAGTCCTTGGAATGCCCCTGCAGAAATTGTCGTCAACTCGTTGCTGTACAGATCGAGTGTCTGCAGTTGACCAACTCCTTGGAATGTTCCCGCAGGAATTGTCGTCAACTTGTTGTACTTCAAATTGAGTTCCTGCAGTTGCTCAAGTCCTTGGAATTTTCCCGCAGGAATTGTCGTCAACTTGTTGTACTTCAAATTGAGTTCCTGCAGTTGCTCAAGTCCTTGGAATGTTCCCGCAGGAATTGTCGTCAACTTATTCCACCCCAGATCGAGTGTCTGCAGTTGCTCAAGTCCTTGGAATGTTCCCGCAGGAAGTGTCGTCAACTTGTTGCTACTCAGATAGAGTTCCTGCAGTTGCTCAAGTCCTTGGAATGTTCCCGCAGAAATTGTCGTCAACTGGTTGCCGTACAGATTGAGTGTCTGCAGTTGACCAAGTCCTTGGAATGTTCCCGCAGGAATTGTCGTCAACTTATTCCACCCCAGATCGAGTGTCTGCAGTTGCTCAAGTCCTTGGAATGTGCCCGCAGGAAGTGTCGTCAACTTGTTTTCGTACAGATTGAGTGCCTGCAGTTGACCAAGTCCTTGGAATGTTCCCGCAGGAATTGTCGTCAACTTGTTGTACTCCAGATAGAGCTTCTGCAGTTGACCAAGTCCTTGAAATGCCCGCGCAGGAATTGTCGTCAACGTGTTGTACCCCAGATGGAGTGTCTGCAGTTGCTCAAGTCCTTGGAATGCCCCTGCAGAAATTGTCGTCAACCCGTTGCTACTCAGATAGAGTTCCTGCAGTTGCTCAAGTCCTTGGAATGTTCCCGCAGAAATTGTCGTCAACTGGTTGCCGTACAGATTGAGTGTCTGCAGTTGCTCAAGGCCTCGGAATGTTCCCGCAGAAATTGTCGTCAACTTGTTGTACTTCAAATTGAGTTCCTGCAGTTGCTCAAGTCCTTGGAATGTTCCCGCAGGAAGTGTCGTCAACTTGTTTTCGTACAGATTGAGTGCCTGCAGTTGACCAAGTCCTTGGAATGTTCCCGCAGGAAGTGTCGTCAACTTGTTGCTACTCAGATAGAGTTCCTGCAGTTGCTCAAGTCCTTGGAATGTTCCCGCAGAAATTGTCGTCAACTGGTTGCCGTACAGATTGAGTGTCTGCAGTTGCTCAAGTCCTTGGAATGTTCCCGCAGGAAGTGTCGTCAACTTGTTTTCGTACAGATTGAGTGCCTGCAGTTGACCAAGTCCTTGGAATGTTCCCGCAGGAATTGTCGTCAACTCGTTCCACCCCAGATCGAGTGTCTGCAGTTGATCAAGTCCTTGGACTTGGAATGTTCCCGTAGGAATTGTCGTCAACTTGTTCCGCCCCAGATTGAGTGTCTGCAGTTGCTCAAGTCCTTGGAATGTGCCCGCAGGAATTGTCGTCAGCCGGTTTGATTCCAAGCTCAGCCATCGGAGCTTCTTTAGTCCTGCAAAGGTAGTTGGGTCAATCTTCTGGAGTTGGTTTTGGCTGAAGTCGATCACCTGCAGCTGTTCGTTGTGTCTGAAGATGGGCCCGAGCTCCGTCATGCGATTGCCGTCCACGATGACGTTGCCGCGTTTGTCGCTTTTGCCGCCCAAGAGCAGCTGCTCCAACAGCGGCAGGTGTCGGAGCACTGCAGCCGAGAGCTCGGTGAGCCGGTTCTCGCCTTGGAAAAAAAAACCGGAGAGATACGACAAAGAAAACATGCCTCGGCAAACTCAAAGAAATCCGGCATGGTTTAGCTTTGTTTAGCCAAAACATGTTCAAAAAAACTGTGTCAAAGAAATGTGTTCATGTTCAGCTGACAAGTGTCTCATCGCTAATAGTTTCAGCTGCTTTAAGCCCCGAAGAGAATCTGCGTGCAGTGTTTGCATCTTAACTCGTGTCAAGTCCAACTGCTCCAATGATGATAGACCTGAAACATCAATGTATGGCTGCTATATGAACATCACAGATTGTGTCATTGCATGGCTGCTCGAAGCATGCTCGAAGCCTTTGCAGAACTATGCAGAATATTTCTTTGACCAACGCTGCTCAAAGCTTCCTGCCTTCAAAGAGGCCCGGAGGCAGATGGATCAAGCTGTTGTTCGCCAATGACAGGCGCTGCACATGTCCGAGTTTGCTGAAAGCCTTTGGGTCCACGGCAGTGATGTTCTTCGCAGCGAGGTTCACCTAAAGCTGGTGCGCAGTGCAAGCATATGTAAGAAAAATGCATTATCCATATGAAATTAGATGCACAAAAGAATATAATGTGATAATTCCCATTCAAACATATTCAAACATTTCAATATTAAAACCTATTATTAATTAAAACATTTTCCATATACAGAAAAACAAACTGCCGGTGGTCCGCCTGGCCTGCGTCTGTCTGAGGACGACTGCAAGGTTGCAGCTGCTAATCTGTTGGCCAGCCGAGCCAACATTTTTAGCGCAATTGCACGGAAAACACCTAGGAGACACAAGTTGCACAGGTACTTGTATATTCCTCGACCTTTTCCGATCTTTTATGAGAACTTCCGATGGCATAAAGATACAAACTGTTCCCTGAGAGCTTAACGTGAAATCCCGTCCATTGGTCATTGGGAAGACTTCCTGCAAAGGCGCTTGAACAAGTGTCATCAAATCAAAATCACCACTCACAGTCACTCGCGCAAATCTTGTGCGGCAGTCCTGCGTCACAAGGAGCTTTATCAGCATCGAAAGAAGCCCAATGGAAAGGGAGCACCCAAATAGTCTTGGAAGGCATCGCCACTTTTGGCGCTCGCCCCTGACATGGTGCTTGCTGCCGTCAGTTCACAAGCAACGGCAATGACATCATCTGACATCTTTACATGGCAAGATATGGCATGGCAAGCTGTTTAGTCTTGCTGTCGCCTGGGTCGCACTGGCAAACGCCAATTAGTGTGCTGCAAAATGTGTGCAATGCAGCATGCATGCGCCAAGTTGAAATACACGGCGCAATAGCCCAATAGGTCGGTAGGAAAAACGAACACGGGGCTGATGCGATTGCCTCAGATTCAAACAAGTTGCAGTGAAGATCCCACTCGCATGGCGTAGGTATGCAAAGAAACACTGGAGACACTCAATGTTGGTTGACGCACGACCAACCTGGAGCTTAGTTTCTGAATTGCAACGTCAAGTCTTCGCCAAAATTTCCCCAACCCTCGGAGGCTGTCCGCAATCGCAGCATCGCCACCAAGACCTTGCAGCAATGACGCTTTCCATTGAAAGACATCTGAGAATCAAACCATCAGGATCTAAAGGACGATTCCCGTGAAACTTGTCAAACCAAATTTAAACCAAGATGCCATACCCAGGTAGGTCAAGATGTAGCCAAGGTCCAGAGCAGCATCCGTAAATGCTGCTCCAATTCGAGCCCAGGCAGTGTCAGGGAACATAAGAAGAAAGGCGGGATAGATAGTGTTCCAACACAGCAGAGCAAAGAAAGCCCAGAAGCCAACACTAAGCCAAAGAATGGCAGTTGCGTCCTGCTCTTCTTGGGCAAAGGTGACGAGGCCCCCCAACAAGGAGATTTTTCCAAAGGCTTGCACCATGACGGTGAGACCTTGCAAAATCGCCACCTTGACGGGGTAGTAAGCTCCGCGCAACCCAAAATATCGCTCCTCGGGTTGCACAAGTCACTAAAAATTAAATTGATTTGATTTGCACATGATCATGGGCAATTTTTAACGCCAGAATATGACAGACTGCAATCACCCTGCCTAAATCATGCTGTCGCCCAGGAACGTACAAGATCTTCGTCGGTTGAGGCCTGTTCCTTCTTTGCTTCCGACACACCAACTGCCGCAGGAAAACGGCCACCAAAACGAGGTAGGGCAGTGCCAAAAATATGGCCTCAGCTGGGCCGAGGGGGAATTGGCGTCTGATTCAGTCGCACAACTGCAACGTCAACATATGGAACTCTGCAACATTTACCAAATTCCCAGGCCTCCAGGATAGTCTCACCGGACTCCTCTCCTCTGTCCAGCAGCAAGCCATCCAAAACCAAGTCAGGCAAGTGGGGCCGGATCCTGCGGGATTTCCGAAACTGCGGCAATTGGCTGTACAGAAGAATTTGCCGAGCTGACAATGACTTTGACAATAGTTCTGAAATGGGACTCTGACAAGACTGTCAACACATAGACCAAGTATAGGAGAATGCATGAGAACAATTGGGAACGGGTCTCCTGTGAGCATAGCGTAGGAAATATTGAAGCGCCATGAACATGGACATGGCCAAAGCCAGAACTTGCAAGAAGATTGTCCCTGCAAGGACCAAAGGTCTGCGAACGTCAGACACGGAATTCCAAAGCCTAGCAACTCGCAAGGCCAGAGGTTCGCTCAGAATCATGGTTTCAGGAAGGCTCAACCTTGCTGAATGAATATTGAGCAAGTCGATTCCCGGCCTTGACGATGTCTCCCACTTGGATTTCATGTCATCTAGCAACCCAAACTGCGCAGCCAACTTGGTCACGCTGCTCAGCTCATTGTCCATCCTGTTTGCAGCTCATTGTCCACCCTATTCTGTTTTAGAATGTCTTAGAACTTAGTCGATTTAAACAAGGCACATCAAGTCGCAAAGGCACATGGTGCTCTACTGTTCCCCTGGTGTTCTACCGGTCCCATGTCAAGTTCTCGGCACCACTTCCCTGCTCCGAAGGAGATCCAACCCGGGCCCCAGATCGCCTCGTGAGGAACGCATCCATGAGAAAAACCGAGGCAAAATAATTCTCCATCTGCAGGATCACCTGCCAGATGCGCAATCCTGACCCCAAACAAGTTGTGAGAATCGGTACGACATTGTATACATTGTATAGATTTGCTGATCAGTCACGGTTTTTCAATGTTTTTCTCCCGCGCCGTAACTGTGAAGATGCATCCAGTAGTCCAATGAAGGGTCCTCTGAAATTATTCATGAAAACTCCATTGCATCGACCCATCGACCCATCGACCCATGGACCAATCCGCCTGGCAGCACTTGTGGCCGCTCATCTCCGCAAAGGTATCCTGAACTGCGGCGATTTGCAGGGAAGCCAGGTCTTCGCTCTGGATTCTGTCCTCAAGTTCCGACGCGAAGTGCGTGTTTGGCTCAATGGCGAAGCCCTTCCCTTCTGCCACTCACGGCAATAGTTACTTTAAATTTTCAGGTTTGAGCCGTGATGGGAAAGTTGACAAACTTATAGCAAGACACCTCCAAGCCCTTGAACGCCTCCTGCACTCCCAGCATGTCTTCGCACACCAGTTCACATCGCAGGGCGTCCAACACTTTCTCTGGGCCTGGCAAAGGAGCTTGAGCCCTTCAAACATCTTCAAACCATGTACAAGGGCGTACGAGCGCTGCATGCGCCGCACCTATGGTACATTGAAAAATAGCAACTCTATAGGTCCAAATGCACATGTCTGGTCAAAGCATGATTATGACATGCCAGTTGAGAGATGCATAGCAGAACTCTCAGAGTTTACGCAGTTCTAACTTGCGCAGCTTCCTGCACAAGGTCTCAAACAACACAACTTAGAAGCAGTGGCACGAGCAAAGCCTTTCCAAGAGTTCTACTTGTGTTCCCCCAAGCATTCTGTCAACTTTACGGCGAGGACACAACACATGGTACATGGTGGAGGTGCTTTGCTGCTCTTCGATGCTCAAATGCGTCAAGAGTTTGATCTTCACAGTTGCATTGGGAAGCACCAACTTCATGGCTCTCCTGGGAAAGAAACATGCCCAGAAGTAGGCTGAGGAAATCGGGGCTGGTTTGCCAAGCAAGACACGAAAAATGGGATACACTGGATTACATCGGATACATGGCAATGGCATGGCATGTTTCATTATCCTTCAAACTGGTTTTCATTTGATGCCTTCGCTGCGGAATCTAGGACCTAAAAAGTGAAAGAGACATTTTTAGAGAACAAATTTCACCATATCTAAAAACCATCTAACAAGAGCCACAGGAAACATAACATGTAGAATAATCTAAACATGTTCCGTCTTCCCCTTCGATGGATTTCTACAGATTTGCCTAGGAGGCTTGGCCTGGTGAATTGTTCCAGACTTATCCAAATTTTGGGTGAATATTGTCAACGGTCTTTCTGGAGCATGGGAGTCTTTGTTAGGATGTTAATTTTTGCAAACTCAAATAACGTAGGCATAGCTCAAAGCCGACAAGACGCAGAAAGAGAGGAAGGCGGCTTTGCGCATCCCTGTAAATCGCACTCCTGCAAAGCGAAGAAACCCAAGACAAAGGATTGATTGGGACAAGAATCTTCTCGAAACAGACATAATGGTCCCATGAAAACATCCGATGGCCAACAGATTCCAGGAAACATCCGAAAACCATGCTTTCGTTGGAAATGAAAGTCCCCAAAAGCTCTGGTTAGGCTAATTTCTAGCTATTAGGTTGTTTCAGTTTTGAAGGTTATTTTCTATCTATTAGGTTATTTCATTTCTTGACTATTAGGCTGTTTGTCTTGCCCAAATAGGCTATTTATATGAATAACCTATTTTTTCTGTAGGTTATTTATGTGAAAGGCCTTGCGTTCTGTTTGTTGTTTTGATGAAAAAACTACGTTTTTTTCAGATTGTTTCTTTGAAAAACAGACTTGTTTTATCAACCACCTCAAAGATGCTCAGCATTTTGTGAATATAATTGGAAGAAAAAGTTCGAAGAAAATCAAGACAGGTCACAAAAGAAAACAAGAGTAACTTGATGTCTTTCTCAAGTTTAGGTTGAAAAAATTGGTTCAAGATCTTTTGTGAAGTTTTGGGAGTTTCTGGAGGCCCACGGTTTCAGTTGTAGTGATGCTTGGCTAGATCAAATACAAGAGCATCAGCTTAGGAATGGCACCTATGTTGGGGCTATCCTGCACATTTTTGGCATGTGTATTTGATAGACCTGGTTGGAAGCTGTATATATTCGAAACCAAGTCATGGACCTTTGGTGGGCCCATGTTGGGTCACTTGATGGCTCTGCTGAGCCTATGTTCGGTGTATTTTGAGCAAAAAAATTCCACCATTTGGGTTTATTTTCAGTTAATTTGAACCCAGACCTAAAAAAAATTAGGTCTGGGTTGAGGAAAACCGTCCTTTTTGGGCCATGCCCCAGCCATATTGGGCCTATCCTGTGCCAAGTTGGGGGTATGTTGGGCCAATCTTGCAGCAATTGGCACATCCACTGCTTGGGCTACATGTTGCCATTTTTCATTGTATAAAGTTAAATTTGACATGACGCATTTTTTGACTTAAAATGAGGCTGTCCAGCAACATGCAATATATATCAGTGGAATATTTTGTTTGGATGGGCAAACCAACAAGGGATGGAAACAAAAGAACAATGTATGTGTATGTGAGTGTATACATATATATACATATTGATTTAATGCTTTATCTATTTATGTATTTGATTATTTCATTTTATCTATTTCTGCATTTATGAATTTGTATCGATGCATGTACATCTATATATAAACATGTGCTGCAACAATGGCAACGGACAGTTTTTTTCTGGGCGCCAAACCAGCACAAAATGGAGGGAAACAAGCATGATTTTAAACAGTTTTTTCAAAACAAAATTTCCTTGAATTAAAAACATGCAAAACCAAACGCACAAGATGATAAATCAACAATTGTGAAAACAAAGGTTGAACACATAATTTGCAAGCTGCATTGGTGTGGAAAAAACGGATTTCACCAAAAATCGTAGAATACATTGGAATTCATGGGTGCTCCTGGGTCTTCATGTGCGTTCATGGGTGCTCACTTGTGCTCACCGGTGTTCATGTGTTTTTGCTTGGTTGTTTGGTTGTTCCCCACCTGCCAGGTGAGGGTTGTTAGGTTTTATCAGAGCTCTCGGCTAGCTTCTCCTCCTCCTGCCTCCTCCTTCTCCTCCTCCTCCTCGTCCTCCTTCTCCTCCTCCGCTCCTCCTCGCTTCCTCGTCCTCCACCTCTGCCTCCAGCTTGCCAACTCTTCGCCAAGCTCTTCGCCAACGTCCGAGCTCAGTGTGCACCGCTGGACCTCAACCTCGTGACTTTCCCAGCTCAGTGTGCACCGCTGGACAACCTGGGACCTGCCCAGCTCAGTGTGCACCGCTGGACCTCAACCTGTGGACCTGCCCAGCTCAGTGTGCACCGCTGGACCTCAACCTGTAACCTGTCCAGCTCAGTGTGCACCGCTGAACCTGAACCTGGGACCTACCCAGCTCAGTGTGCACCGCTGGACCTCAACCCGGGACCTGCCCAGCTCAGTGTGCACCGCTGGACCTCAACGGCCAGATAGAATGCCAGAAGATATGCCAGGTAGAATGCCAGAAGATATGCCAGATAGAATGCCAGAAGATATGCCAGATAAAGTGCCAGAAGATATGCCAGATAGAATGCCAGATCGAATGCCAGAAAGTATGCCAGATGGAATGTCAGATAGACTGCCAGCAGGTATGCAAGATAAAGTGCCAGAAGGTATGCCAGATAAAGTGCCGGAATGTTTGCCAGATAGAATGCCAGAAGATTTACCAGATAGAATGCCAGATAGAATGTCAGAAGATATGCCAGAAGATATGCCGGATGGAGTGCCAGAAGATATGCCAGAAGATATGCCAGATAGAGTGCCAGAAGATATGCCAGATAGAGTGCCAGAAGATGTGCCAGAAGATATGCCAGATAGAGTGCCAGAAGATATGCCAGAACATGTGCCAGATAGAATCCCAGAAGATATGCCAGATAAAATGCCAGAAGATATGCCAGATAGAATGCCAGAAGATATGCCAGATAGAATGCCAGATAAAATGTCAGATAGAATGCCAGAAGATATGCCAGATAAAGTGCCAGATAAAATGTCAGATAGAATGCCAGAAGATATGCCAGATAAAGTGCCAGAATGTTTGCCAGATAGAATGCCAGAAGATATGTCAGATAGAATGCCAGAAGATTTGCTAGTAACAAAACGTATACATGTATAAATGTCATGGTGGGGATAACTCGAAGTAAAGTAATTTGGTTGTTTGTTTTTTTGATTGTTTGATTGTTTTTTAAACCCCACCCATTTTATTATCTTGAAAATGGGATTGAAATGGAGGTCCCTGAGTGACTGTTCAGCTTTGGACGGGATTGGTAATAAACCACAGGCTAGAGAACCCCAAGAGAAACACATTTTGTGAAATTTGTTTGGACGCCGGGCAGCACTGTGTTTTAAAAACAAAAACCAAAGGTTGGGTGGGGTTTTACTTGTAAAAAGTAGTGGTGGGCAAAAACATAATTGAGCAAATGCTCTGCAAGGATCTGTAGAAGAAATCCAGGACACAAAGTTTGTGGTTTTGCTTAACGCGCCACCCTTGAAGTGTAAGTTTACTCCAAACTTACACTGGCAAGTGTAAGTTTACACTTGTAAATGTAAGTTTGATGTGAACTTACGCTTGCCAGTGTAAGTTTGGAGTAAACTTACACTTCAAGGGCGTAAGTTTACATCAAACTTACACTTCACAAGTTTAAGTTTGATGTAAGTTTGGTGTAAACTTACACCCCATGAAGTGTAAGTGTGATGTAAACTTACACCAAACTTACACCTCAATACCATACAATTTGACCAAAAACGTGTTTTTCTCAATAAAAGCAATGGTGTTTTGAAAAAAATGTTTGTTTTTCCAAAATCCGTTTTTTTTGAGAAAAATGCATGTTTTCCCAAAGAAAATGTGTTTTTGAGGAAAAAAACTGTCAAGCACACACTTCCTTGGATAGATTGTTCATGATTTTTCCATGTTTAAGCCAATGAAATTGATGGCTGAAGCGCCCAAAGTCATGCAAAACAATTGGATCAACTTTTTCAGGGCATAAATTTGGCATCCAGCAATGCCCAAGTGATTGACTGACTGTGGGTTGCAATGCCTTTTTTTCAAACATGGATTCCGGAAAAACAATCCTTTAGTGATACATTGGCTCTTGGTTGGCCGTACGTTTAAATTTAAAGGCTGGGGACCCCAAATTATAGGTAAACTTTATCTAGGTTCAAGATAGGTGTGGTTATAGATACTTAAATCCTGGTACGATATACCCCTGGTACGATAGGTACGGTGGTGCGGTACGTTGGTACAATGATACAGTATATGTATGGTACGATGGTACGATTGTACAGTAGATGATGTATGGTACAGCGGTACGACACTTTGATGATTGTTAAATCTTGAATTTTCAGATTGTGAAAACAATCCCAAAACAAACCATACATTGTCGACGTCAAGAAAGCATTTCAGTGATTATATGTTTATCAATAACGGCGCATACACATATATGTATATTATATCTATTACACACACAGACATACAATTTAATCTAGTAACTACTAATACAAAAATGATGAAATTTGATACACAATTGCTGAAATTTGAAAAGATGTATTCTACATATTCTATGACATAGACTAAACCATATGATATTTTTTAATTGGTAACCTGGTAAACTTATTAAGTGATTGACAATCAAACTAGTTTTAAAATGTTTAAAAAATCTAACATATGTTTTAAATATATAATATATGGGATGTTGCAGCTAACAGTATGTCTTAACAATATTTCTGGAGCTAGCGGTTGTTTGACTGAATTGCTAAATTGCTGATAAGGATACTCACAAATCACACAACGGTTTCCAGCAATTGATTGAAGGTATTTTTTGACAGCTTTGCTCGAATATTTTTTGTAAAGGACTTGATGGCATGTTTTGTGCCTTGCAACATGACGTGAATTTAAGGCTTAAACCAGTACCGAATGGAACGAGGCTGCCTTTAACGGTACGGCCGGAATAGGAATGTGCAACTAAGTCAGCGGCATTGAGATGTGTTTTGAGTCGCCTTTGATTTGATACTAAGGCGGCCTGTCCTTCGTGGTATGCTTGTTCAATTGAGTTGATTTTTCCTACCAACCCATTCTACAAAGGGTTTTGGTGTTGAAATGGGCTACACAGATCTGCGCAGCTACATGTCATGAACAGTTTGTGTGTTTTGTGGTTGTGTATAATGAGTTGGAGATTTGATCCAACAGCGGAAAGGCTACATTGAACAAAGCTGAGGGGTGAAGTCAAGCAGTTCATGTTCATCTGTATTTTGTAGTGGCCAGCATTCAAGCAAACTATAGTCAATATTTTTTGGAGAAATTAATTCAGTCTGCAATGCTAGCAAAAGAATCAGATTGTGTCAATTGCAAATCAAATTGGCTTAGCTTGCACGGTACACTAAA